CATGCAAGCTGTGCTGTGACTACCAACCACTGAAGAGTTCATTAAAAAATAAACTTGTACATTGTAAAGTTCCCACGTGTCATTATTTATTTACTGAAATGTTTATATACTGATTTATTTTTGCCTTAATTAAATGGCTGAGTTCACCCATTTTCACAATTTTTGTGGTGAGTTATCCTCTAATGTTGGGAATATCTCGTCTCATTGATTTTGATTGGGTTGTTTATATGTGCCGTTTCGATTTCATTTTTATGATGTCGTCTGTGAGACAATTGTATTAGATTTATTCAGGATTTTAAAATCACATCTGTTTAATTTAGTTTTGTAGTGTCTGTCTTTATAATGTTTTTACTAACTTATTTCTTCCTTTCTTGAACAGGATAAAACAGATGTGTGGATCTAAGGCTGAAGCTTTATTGGTTACATTCATTTGAACTAAAATGGAGAAAAAATATCAACCTTTATATCTATTTCTACCACAATACAATGGGCCTTAATATAATGTTGTAGATCTTTTGTTTTTGGACAACTTAAATCTAAAGGGAGCAAAGAACCAATTCCCTGTTGTTACACCATCACACCAGTAGATGGGGCACATCTTTACAGAGCGTCAGTCTGCACCGAACATCATTTTGCAATGTTCTGTTACAATCTTTCACAGTTACAGTGGAAGGCTTTCTTGCATGTCTGAATATGTAAGGTAAGGATGTTTTACTGAAACACTCACATTCATATACATTGTTTGCATATTAGGCAAGGCACATAAACATCAATGTGCATTACAATAACTCAAAACTGAGGGCATGAACAGAAAACTAAAATATATATGTTTTAAAGCAAATACAAAACAGAAATGGTCACTCATGAGTTAAGGTGTTTAGAAATGTGTTAAATTGATGGGCTATTTTACTTTTGCACAATTAAATATTTCATTAAGAAAAGCAATACTGGGGAAATTATAAAAAAAAGCACCATACATCAAAAGTAAAACTCGTAACATTATTTATACAGCACCTTAAAACTAAGGGAGCAGGATACACAGAAGGCAATATAAAAAGGAAAGCCAAACAATGAGGTAAGTTACAATTTTTTTAAAAGGCAAAAAATAACAGGGAAAAGACAATGATAACGTAAAAGAGATACTTTTTCTTTAAATGTCATTAAAAAAGGATAACCGATAAAAGCAAGTCAAAATTGATTTAGATGAAATCAAGAGGACACCAATTCTACGACTCATTTTCTCTGGCAGGTTGTTGCAAAATTCTAAGGGGACTGATGACAAATCCACGGTCACCTTCAGATTCAAACTCAGGATCAGCAAGAAAAAACGCATCTGAAGGTTTCAGCTAACCGCCTCATATGCCGCCACTAGTTCTGCTATATAGTTTGTTGTTAACAATAATGCTTAGAAAGTGATCAGTAGTCCTGTGAAGAGGAGCCAGGATTAGGGTAATGTGTCTGGAGGTACAATGCTGAGTCTGTTCTCCCTGAGTTTAAATCCCTTCAGATTCTTGGTATTCTTACTCAACTATAAGTGAGCATTAGCTGACAGAATAAATCAGGTTCCTCATAAAGTGATTTATATGACAGCGATAATGGAAGTTTAAGCTCTAATTTCTGCTTGTTTCACCGGGTGTGTCCTGCTCCTGTGATGAAGAGCTCCCACTTTCAGATTAAGTTTTTTAAAATAAACGGTGCTATCTGCTGTAATTGCTCAGAGACATGTAAAAAAAAGACTGTTCTGTTTTTCCGTTGCCTCAGCACGTGGTTAGGAAATCTGGTTAGTCTTAAATGTGACATGGACAAGCTTCATTAACAATCCCTGAACAGAATGTCTTCATCGGGTCAAAAAACTACTTTTTGACACATTCCTGGCCTTATAATGAACCCCATTATAGGAACAAATGGTTTGAATACATGCAGCCATTTCTTGTTGTTTGGCAGACTCAAAGGAAACTCTTTGCACGTGATTTGTGAATTTGAATTAAACGTACAGGGGAATGACTTTTAGTGTCATAGAAATCACAGCAGGAGTATAATGTCTCTTTCCTGACAGCAGCTCCGAGATGACGCGCTGTGCTTTTCTTTTCTTTTTATTTCCAACACGGCCTAATCTGCCTCTCTTAAACCGTAAAGTGCAGCAGGCCAAAAACCTCCTTCCCCAAGTGCAATTTTTAAACACACCACAGATGAGATTTAGACACGCAAGATAAGCAAATACCCCTCAGATTCGAGCAGAAACAGCAGCGGGATTTCTCACTCGCTGACAAACAATGACAAATCGTGGCGTCCTGTCACTGAAACTAAGATGAACCCTCGGTGGGAAAAAAGAAGGGATTCAAAGCAGCGGTGGATCTGTGAAGATGGGTTTAGCGAAGAGGAGACAGCTTTCTCTCTTTGTTGTGTCAGCAACTGCACTGTGATGCATCATGGGTAGAAGAGGTCACACAAGGAGAGGACAAATGACTATATTGCTAAATGATATACCAATTAAAACAGTGTGATTACTGTTGATGACTATTATTGACTGATTATAAAATACTGTACATTTTATAAAAAGGAGTCCAAAGTTGAACATTGAGGAGTCTTAAAAAATGAAAATTATGACAATTTTGATGAGTAATTCATTTTTTTCTGTCAATATTGTGACTCCAAATATCCATCATAAACTTCCAATCCATTATTATAATGAATGGGCTGTTTTGAAACTGTTTCCAGCTCCCAATGCTTTTCTACGTCTTTTATGAAATGCTGGTTTAACAAAGCAAACAGCTATGGAACGTTACCATGTGTTGTGGGAGTTTACAATGACACTAATTATAAAGCGGTTCCTGGTTTACTAACTAAAAACATGACTCCTCAGTTTCTCTCTCTGTGTTGAAGGATTCATAATATTCCTAACCTGACTACAGTGTGTGGTAACTGCAGACATAACGTCGGGGAGGCTCTGGAGAAACATTTCTTGAATACTTAAACTGTTGGATAAACATTTTCACGTGGGCGTGAGCTCCCAGCGTAGACTCCTCGCTACAAAATTACCCATAATGGCTTTTGACTGAAACATTACTGTCAGATAAATGAAAATGTGTGAACGCAAGAGTGCCCATTACACTGTGTTATGTTAAATATGAATTTCAGATTACTTGGCATTGTTCATTTAACAGTCGAGCAGGCAATGCATTTTCACCTCAAACGGGGATTGTGTTACAAAACGCATGATATGGCTTGAAGAGCTTTTGGAGAGCGTTTAGGATTAAAAACATTAAGTCTAAACATTTACTTTCGGAATTTATCTCTGGGATGGGATTTTTTTGTGTTGGCATGGAAGGAAACCCTTATCCAAACCAGTGTGCCTTCTCACAATCTTTGCCTTCCTCAAGAGCAGACAGAAATATGCTGAATATGCAGCAGAGTGACCTAAGTCAATAGATCAGGGTTTATTTTTAGGAAAGGCGCCTCACTCCCTTTGCTCCACCCAAGTTTTCTCATTATCTGCAACAGGGTTGAAACTTGTAAAGATAATGGCTGGATGCCTGCTCTCCCACTCAGTTGGGATGTGGATGGGTGTCACAATTTTTGGCATGTGCAGCAAATAGCAGGCAAGAAAGCCTCTTTCACATAAATAATTATTTTTTCAATTTATTTTGTTGCAAGTCTGTGCTTTATACAATAGTACACGTGAACAGTACGAATACATAATAATTTATTAAAAACAAACAAATCCCCCCCAAAATAAGGGAGGAATACATTTAAAATAAGAGGGGTTGGGTGATGGGGCTGTAATGATGCCTTTAAATTCATAAACATCCACATTAATCATAGAAAATTACATTTTACACACATGTACACAGTGTTTCTGAATCAATATTATGTACCAGTCCATGATGCCACTTCCTGTTTCAATCATATTTTGAAATAGCAAGGCTAATTTAATTTAATTTTTCCAATGGAAGTACTATTCTTAGTTACAGTTTTTTTCCATGGCTGGTTGATTATTTTATGTATTGTAGTTTTGGCTGTATTTAATTTAGTTTTGCTCTGTAACCATTTAATTTCTTAAAAAATACGATAAAAAAATGTAGTCCGAATATTCCATTGTGTTAGTGATGTTTTTCTTGTTTGCACCAATTACAAAGTATGAATTTTCCTGCTAGAAAAACGACATATAGCCTATTACATGTTACTTGTTAGATTACATTATATATATATATATATATATATAAATATACATATGTGTGTTATTTGTATATGGGGAATAAATAGTGATAGTCCTTAAAGTCGGTGTACACTTGGCGGCACACACATCTAACACTATAGGGCTGATACCATTTACTGCAGTTAACCTATTGTGCTTTTATCCTCACATGAAATGAGTTTTTTGACAGTAAGCACCTGTAGGAAGGTTAAATCACAGCGTGTGGAGAAACCTACTCGTACAGTGAGGTAATGGCACACATGTTCAGAGACTGAATATCACTGGAATGCAGAATGTAGAGTTATTACAATGGAGCTTTGCATAAGTGAGTGGTGCCGACTTGCAGTAAGTTAGATTAATTATGTTTCCACTAAGCTGGGGTCATTACGCAGGAGAGCTGCAGGAGGGGAGGAAGCTGTACGAATGTTTTTTAGTTAAACTGATATTGAAAATTATATTATTAATATTAATATATTTTATTTGAATGTGCACTCTTCCAAAACTGTGAAAATTACTTCAGCAAAACACCAATAATAGAACAAGGTAAATGCATGAAGTTGCAGACATACTATAATGAAAAGTTCAAAAGTATGATAAAGTATGCTGATATATAAATCACTGTCTTTATGGGAACAGTACAGACCTATCATAACATACTTTAAATGTCTTAAAAGTACCACTAATAACTATAGACACATGAAAAAGCCCATTACAGTGACTATATTTACGTGCTGAGGACGGCTGTTGCTTCGGCTTCAGTCGGAAGTGCTCGGGTGTTTTCGGTATCACCCGGAGCGACGGAGGGCAGAGCGAGCTCAGCGCTCGAGACAGCGCCATTCATCCAAGAGGACCGAGAGCACACCTGGTCGGACCGCAGAGAGCAGTTTAGCGTCTGAAACAACTTCCCACAGGTGAGTTTCTACCTGACGTTTCATTTCTGCTCTTTCTTGTGAACTTTTGCACACTTTGGTGAACTTTTACGCGGGGAAATATCACCAGAGAGACAGTTAGGTGCAACTTCTACGCATTCAAGCTAGCAGCAACTACCTGTTAACCTGACGTTAGTGGTTAAGAGTAACGAGGTAGAAAACAAACTTATCTGGAAAAAGAGCTGAAATACAAAGTTTTAATTGTCGTGACTTTGTTCTCTTTACCTGTCAACAGCACCCCGGTTAATCACTTGAGGAATGCTGTGGCATTAGACCCGAAACTCCATATAAACTTTTGGTTCATTCTCACCAACTTTTCGATAAAGGGATAATGGCAACGGGTGGATTTAAGTCAAGCGCCACGACTGACTTTTTGGAGGAGTGGAAGGCAAAACGGGAGAAAATGAGAGCCAAAATGCTGGGGGACATAGCCGCAGCGACTGGTGCTCCTCTGGTTGGCAATAACCCAAACAGTAACCGCCACACCGAGCTCACCAATAACGGAAACCCGGAGAGAAGCGCCTCTGCTGGGAACTGCCTCCCCTCCTCCTACACGGTGGCTCGGTCCTCCTCCGGCACGGCTTTAAAGAGACCCGAGGAGGAAACGCACCACCCCGCTGCCCAACCTGCTGCCCAACCCGCTGCACAGCCCGCTGCACAACCCGCTGCCAACCCTGCTTCACCCACCCCGCCGGGGAGCAACCTGAAGAAGGCCCCGCCTCAGACGGAGAAGGATCAGTGCGCTTCCCCGGACTCCAGCCCCATGGCTTGCATTGACAGTGACAAGGGAAGCCCATCGCCCAGTAAAGTGAAAGAGAAGAATAGCTCTGGCCCCAGTGCTAGGAAGGGGAAAGGACAGATCGAGAAGAGGAAGCTGAGGGAAAAGAGGAGATCAACAGGTGTTGTCAGCATACCATCAACTGAGGTGAGTCCTGCTATTGTTGTATGTGATATTAATGTGAATCTCCTGCAGGGAAATCACATTTTCTCCACCTGAAGTTAATGAATACAAAACAGATTCATTTTGGCAGGTTTATTGCTTACTTTTACTCTATTGGCTTTTGGGTCAGATCTACACAAAGTGGGATAATATGGAGACCAATGTGGTGATAGGGGTGGCTTTCAAATGATTACAAAGACCAGGTGACAATTGTTTGCCATCTTAACTATCTAAAGTCAGAACACCTTAAAAGTTGCATTGAGAGTAGCAGAGCATGACTGAGTGATACTGAGATTTGCTGAGCCAATATCAATATTAAAAGAATGTAATAATCATTTATCAGCTGCTAATAGTTTTTAACATAACATACACAAACGTTTTGGATAAAAACCCTTACATTTACTTGATAATAAAAATGTATGCTGAGTGGAAGATTTTGCAGTTAAAAAGTTAATCTATGATTTGTATCATCATATGTCATCTATGAGACTGTCAATCGTTTTTTTAGATTAATTTGTCAGTATTTTAGTCCATATATTGAAATTGATGTTGATTAAGTTTCTGTCAATTGTCTACATGATGAATGGTCTAATCTTTTGAGTGCTCAACAAAAATAAACAGTAAATCCAAGATAAACAAGACTAAACTATGTCTAATATTAAAAGAAGAAGAAGTGTGTGGTGTGGACAAGCTTAATTTGAGATGGTTAAGATCTGTCCCCAATTATTAATGCGTCTTTTTAAGTGTATCCTTCATTTACCTGTACGTACTTGTCACTTCAGTCCTGCGATTTCTTATTACTTATCAGGTGACATGTACGTAGATACTGATGCAATTGTGATAACTAGCTAACTTGAGCTGATAAAATGTCCCCTGTCAGTCAAACAAAAGAAAAGTATGGTCCATTTACCTCTCAATCATGGCTATAACACCACGGCCAGTGTGTGTTCTTATGTAAAGAAAAGTAGAAAGAAGGCCAACAGCTTTATATTAAATATAATATTGTCCAAAAGGAATTATGGGCCATGTGTTTGGATCAATGTGAAAGATTATTAGTAAAATGTAATTTCCTTAGGTTTGCTTTTGTTAGATTTAATTATGTGTACTCTAAAGGGTTATTTGTTACCACTGCTTTTATCCTTCTATAACTTTAACGTTTCTTGGCAGCAATTCTTACAAACATCTTGGGACCTGTTTGATAAAAAATGTCTCACTTAAAACACATTTTTCCTTGGAATCTGCGTGTGTGTTGTAGATGTAAATAATTCAAATCCAAGTAAAGCATTTGTTTTCCCACAAATTCTTCAAATTCCTCCCATACATGTGTCTGGTCTAATCGAGCCTCTGTAGCAGGAACAATGTAAGCAGCACTCATTAAGGGGAGGGTGAGGCGAAACCAAGGGAGGCAGGGGTTGTCGACTGGCGATGGAGGTGTGTGTTTGTGTGTATGGGAAGGCGGTGTTGGGGCTTTCATTGTTAATGAATTTAAATCATGTAACAGTGTTGCCTGATTCCTGTGGTTCTGATACGGAGCCTGCCAACAAGCACTCTTGGCGAGCACTGTGACTCTGCACACTCAAATTATACCGAAATTGTTGGAATAAATGTTTTTTCATTAAGGCGATGGCAGTGACACTCTATTACCACGCTGCTTCCCGCATCCCCTTCTCTCTTATTTGATAGCCACCCAGAACTAGGTGCCCTCGAGGCAACTCAACTACGAGTATCACCCTTTTTTCACTTGGCGCTCTATATCCTGTTATTAGACGCTCTGCAGGGCCGTTTGAAAACTGGTCAGCAGCCAGGCTGTAATGCTGGGCTTCAGTACTCAGAGCCGTGCCAGTTTTGTTAGATCGAGCCCATAGGCAGCTGATTATGCAGTAAAGTGGCCCAACACACGATTACTGGGGCGGAGGGGAGGTTGGAAGTAATCTGATGAAGTTCGGAGCTGGATTGTGTGTGAGAGAGGCCGAGAGAAATAACTAATCTGATCCTGCTTTGGTTTTAGGACCGTTTGTTGAAATGTCCCCATCTCATGAGACAGCTCATTATGTGAGATACACTCAGTATGTTTATATGTTAGTGCTACAACTAACGATTATTATCATTATCAATTAATCTGTCTATTTTCTTCATGAGTCGGTTTATTAGATCTCAGAGGGGAAAAAAAGGCCATCCCAGTTTCTCAAAGTCCAAGGTGATGTGTTTTAAGTTGACTAATATTTGCGGCTATATTACATGTATAGTAGTGTAACGGTTATGATAAGGCTTTTGGGGCGGTCCTCCATTATCTCTAAGCACATCAAAAACATTTCAGAAACCTGGATAAGCCCTTAGCCTAACATTGATAAACCCGATTATGCTAGTTTGAATTCTGAACAGTTTCTAAACCTAGACAGCCATGTGTGCAGCTCTCTTATCAGTTTTATAGTAGTCTCTAAAGCAGTGTATGATTATAAAATGAATGTGAAAGTCAACGATAATACATTGGTTGGATTTTGGACTTTTGGTCAGGCAAAAGAAGCAGTTTGACATCACTGGAGATCTTCCAGAACTTTGTGAAATCTTAAAGATAAACCATTAAAATAATCGGCAGACTCATCAATAATAAGTATTCATTGTTTTACAACAGTTCCACTGTTACATGCAACACTCCCGCATTTAAACCTATAGCTAGGTGAAGCCCCTGACTCTAAATAACAGCTCAAGTTTTATACGTCCACTTTATTAATGGAAGCTTTATCTCTCAGATTTTCTTAAACTGAGAATCTGCCAGTTTTGGAAATCAGAATGAAACATACAAATGCAACAACTGGCATCCCAGCAGAGACGTATTCCTTTTGTCAGATGTTTCCCTCTCTCCTTCGGTTGCATACAGAGGACCAAACTATGCAAATGGAGACTCTCCTCACACAAGCCCTCTTTGTGATTTGAATGTGAGCGGACAGGTGTGAAAAGAGTTGCATGGGATTATATCCCCGTTCGTTCTGTGCAGAATAAAAGCTTTTGAGCGGGGTTTCAGAGCATCAGGGGAACCCAATCTTCTGCCTGTTGAGGGTATAATGGCCTGATAACAGCTCCCTGCTTTACTAGAGAAAAGACACTTCTGCAGAGGCATCAAGGTGTTTCCTTTCTCTCACCCTGCTCTCTGCCTCAAACTGGAGGCCATTGTTGTTTATGCTGACCTTTGACCTGCTCACAAAATGCTTATGCAACAGAGGAATGTGGAAACGAGTGATTTTAGAGAGATTGAGCATCTTTGAAATGTTGGGTTGTGATGTAAGCATGTTTCCAGAAGGGCACACGATTTGTACGCTGAGTTATGACTTTGTGGTGGGACGCTGGAGTCAGGAAGTGTGAACTTTGTTTTCATGTAGACGGCTGGATGTGCCCGTCACAGCTTTTTGTCTGCAGAGTCACCCGAGAGGTCAACAGGTTCAACATGCAATACTGTGCCGTGCGCTCAGGCAGTTAACACTCTGGTGATGGAAAGACATGCAGACAGGAGGGGTCCTTGTCCAACCTGATTCTTTGTTCATATGTTCATGTTATGTTTTATATAAACATATCTTAACCTCTAAAACATCGCCTATGCTTTGCAGCCGAGCTCCGCTCAAACCCTCTGTACTTTATCTTAGGTAGTGGAAAGCCGAAAGTTTCCAAATAAGCCAAATATAATCTGCTGAATTTTACACATTTGTGGGGTGGAAGCTTTCACTTAGAATATTTATTATTCTGTTTTATGATAATGTGCAGCCATTAAAAACAAGTAGATATAATGTGTTATTGTCAGAAAGCATAAATAATTGACTTTTATGACCGTAAAGATTATTAAGGGAGTAATTAAAGGGAAAATATGTTATTTTTTGTCCCCTTTTGACAGTTTTACTTAATGCAAGTGTAAAGCAAGCTCTTTTTATAAATATTTTGATTCCTTATAAAGCATTCTGGCATTTAAAAAAATAAATTTGATTCGTTTATATTCCAAATGACAAAATAAATAGTCATTTTACAAACATGTTGCCCTTTTCCAGCGCTTTGCATGTTGTGTGAATGTCTGTTCAGGGCTCTTTGCATCGTTGAGTTTCGGCATCAATTATTTCCTCTTCTCTCTTAAAAACGGGCTGCACTGATATTATTATGTAAATCCCCCATGCCTTGTTTCTTTCCAAATGTGTTTCTGCTCCAGTTCAGCGGGGGGTGGAGTTGTACTGTATGTTGAAGGAAGGGGCATGCTGAGAGCAGAGTTTAGACAACTTGGATCCTGTTTTAACGCAGTTGGAGACAATGCATGGTTTGACACTGGTTTAATGAATGAGCGCTAATGTGTTTGTTTTTGTTGCCTCTCCAAAAAGAGCAGCTAGATTGATGAGAAATGAAACTCATTGTCATGGGAGGCCTTCACTACCACTGCTGCTTTTCAAGCCCCCCACAGTAATGTTTAAACCCACATATTTACTCTTTTGCCACATTACTTTATATATGAAAGTACAGGCCTCTATTTTAGTTTTTAAAGCTTTCTAAAGATGTTTAAACGTTGTATATTTAAAGATGTAAGCAACTGACTGTCAGTGGAACTTATGATATAACTTGAGACACCTTGGTAACAATCCAAATCATTCTCTTTGTGACTTGATTCACTCCATCACAGCGGCTTGTTTATGAGACAGAATAGGCTCTGAATTGCACAGCTGTCTAACAAAATCCAAGAATGTTAATTTTCATGTGGTGGAGTGCGTTTTGCTTGCTGTTAAACCCTCTCCAAACAAGGCCACATCATTACAGTAAATACCACAGGGATTTTATCATGGACTTAGGTAAGCATGGAGCTATTTAGGCAGGGTGTTGTGTTTCCTTCCCTTCTCTTGTTAGTTAAACAACAAGAATGCTACATTCTCTATTTGAAACACGTGTTCTTTAAAGTGACATATCCAAAGCCAGTAGCCCCGGTTCCCGAGAAGACCATTTTGTTTGTTTGACTTACT